TACAGGGCTGAGGCCTAAACCTAATACTAATCCTAACCCTAACCTCTGTAACCAAAAAGAAAAGTTTGAAACAGCAGAGAAAATAAAACAGACAACCACATACAGCATTTAGATATTTTATTACTAAAATTTAGAGGTCTCTAAGGCGGTTCTGTGTTCACAGGTATTATAGCTATACTTTTTTTGTGAGTAAAATATAATGGTAGAAAAATCACGGTGGTCCTGCGTGCTACAAACTTCATTAAAACATCTGGAAATACAAACACCTCAAAACACGGAAAAAACATTAAGAATGACATTCAGGTCCCCTTCAAGTCTGCTACTAAAAGTGACTAGTGTAATTGGCAATGCACAAAAATCTTTTTTGATATTTACATCACAGGAGAAAAAGGTGCTTCCGCTGAGCACAGGAGGAAAAAAACAACAAAAACAAAAATAACGTCCAAATGAGCCTCTTCAGCTCCAAATAAGATCAGCCGTTTACTCAACGAACGATCGTTTAAGACATCAGCACAGATTCAAGTGGTCAGAGAGAGAGAGAGAGAGAGAGAGAGAGAGAGAGAGAGAGAGAGAGAGAGAGAGAGACATTCATTTCAGCAGGGGGATATTTCACAAAGCAAGATCTCTCAGTGACGCTGGGTAACAAACTGATAGTCCAGCAAATTTAAGCAATTTCCCCTCTTAAGTCTAAATATAGTTGATCAGCCAACAAAGTCCGGGATCTGAATTCCATGATTATAATTGTTATTTGTTCCCTATGTTAGCCTCTCAGCTCCAGTGCTGAAAAGCTAATGTAGCTAACAAATAACAGAAGCTTATAACAGGGACGTTATAAAGGATGAGATGGTCATCACGCTCAACATGACGTCTGTTTGCAGAGAAAGTCCCGCCCTTCAAGAAAAAGAGCCAATCAGCTTCCTGGTTAGGCCACGAGCGGGGAAAGCTCCACCTTGTTTTGGAGACCTGCGCAAGCGTGGTAGCCAGAACTCAGCCAGAAGGTTTTCTGTGTTACTGAGCATAATGCTGCAATCAGATAATGGGGAAATCCGGGTCTATATGAATCAGACAGTAATCAGATTTCTGCTTTGCAACCGGCCAATAAACTCACAGAAGCCGATGTGATGTAAACGTAATGTAAAACTCAAACTTCATGGCGCGGCTTTGTTTTTTGAAATATTGCGCCACTTTAACCTAAAATATGAAATTACATCATGTAGAAGATGAAGAATATTCAAATCCTTCATTTCGTCAAGCATGTATTTGATTTCATTGTCGCTCCAAAACTGTTTTGATTGCAACGCTGCTCACTTATTTCCGGTACCGCCGTCTGTTTTCGCACATGCTCAGACTGAGAACTCAGAAAGAAATCAGAGTAAGAGTTCACATGCACTGAGAAATCTGATTACTGAGCTAAAATCCAGCCTCTTTGAAAGATTTCTTAATCAGATTTCTGGACCTTACTCTGATCTAAGAAACCAGAGTGTGCTGTTTACACGACCATTTGAAAAATAACTGCAGAAATCCAATTATGATCTGATTACTGAATGCATGTAAACACACTCAGTGACTGCAAATATGTTTCTGAAATGGTAATCTGACCATCCATCTCTCTCAATTCGAAGAGAGAGCATCCTGATTTTGTACGGCTGGAAATAACTGCCTGGCGGTGTTACAAAGATGGTTGCCAAGTAAACAGACTTTCCTATAAGGACTTTGCTTTTACTCTGCTAATTAGCATGGTGCTAACTGCATGTCTAAATCATCTCTCACTCACCTCAAACTGTGTTGTGTGGTTAAACACTGATAGTATATCAGTGTCTATGAGAGATTACTGAACAACTCAGTGTGTGATGATTTAGGCATGCAGTTAGCACAATGCTAACTGGGTGGCCACCAGCTTCCCTTGTTAGCTACATTAGCCTCGCAACTCCAGTGCTAAACTTCAGACACCAAACAGGTCTCGGCTGACCGACTACTTTAGGGGTGAAGCTGAGAAAACGGGTACATTTTCTGCCATCAGTCATGTTTATCTTGAGTTATCTAGCTAAATGAGAAAATCCGGCCTTGTAAACATCCCCCTGCTGAACAGACAGCAGTGTCAGGGCTGAATGGAGTGCTTTGTAATGAGGTAAAGTGCAGGGTCCCTCTGCAGAGCCACACTTTTCACACAAAAGCCCACAGACTACAGTTAGCATCGATGGACAGTTATCCCTGTAAATGGTGACTGACTGGCAACGAAATGGAGCGCTAGGCTAGCTCCGCTACAGTCTCGGAGTGTCTCTTTGGTCGCCTACTTACAATAAACAGCTCACCACGTCTTAAATTTCATAATTAAAACATGCCAACAGCTCAGAACTCTCAATTTAGAATGGAGGAAAGAAAAAGCAATTGACAAGCAACGGGTCTGATTACAAAATGTTCCGTTTTTGAGTGCAGAGGGGGTCCAAAAAACAAATCTTGCCCAAAATGAGCACCATAACCATCCTTTAGTCCAGTGATCGTCTGACAGAACTCAATATCTACATCTGCTAAGTTTGAACAAAATCATATGTACAATATATACATACTAAGGGTCATACAAAGTGACACGCCAGGACTTCACATAGGAAATGTATAGCTACACATAATATGTGCTTAGAAAAAAAAAATCAGGTTTGATTATGGTGAACTAATCTAACATGAGCAGCCCAGAGCCACAAAATTAATAAGCTCATCTCAGCCTGAAATGCATCACCGTCAAAGCAAAATGTTACTACCAACCTTTTTGAGAAGGAAATAATATTCTTAGCTGTAATATACAAAAATTTGATTTTATTTAAAATGAATTCCACCAATTCTTAAACATTTCTGCATAATTAAATGGTCAAGATGTAAACAAAGTCAGAGTGCTTTGATGTGAATGTTCTAGAGTCAGAATTGTCCACAGTGGTGGTGATAGGAACCAGACGTCCACCTCTAAAAGCTCCCTCACAGAAAGTTACTACAGGATATGGTTATGAATTCACTGCCTGATGTCTGAGATGTAGTTTTATGATAGTTTTGAGAAGATGTGAAAATGCATTCATGGTGGAGGGATACATGCAGGGCGCTGTGAGGCAAAATAATCCCCAAAGAAAACTTATTACTTCAGATTTTCCACAATTTTCCCATCATCAACATTCCATATAAACTCAGAAGACTCGTGTAGGTTCACTGGTGGTTCTGGATAGTAAATAAAATGTCTATATTTGTGTTGTAGTCATGGCAACCCCTGGTTCCTATCACCACCACTGTAAAGACATCTGAACCATTTCACACCAAACCACTCTGAATCACTCTGTTTACATCTCACACCCTGAATTATGCAGATATTTTGCTGGAATTCCTGTTTAATAAAGTAAATGTAGACCACTTCTATTGGTCCACGCCCAATGTAAGGGGCAGCTGACGTTCTCAAACTGTGTAGAAACTGAGGTTTTAACATCACAGCAAGAAATGTATAGTGAGAAATATGCATATAAGAGATAAACAGCTTGATGTTCTACTGAGATTTAAACCATGATGCTGTGATTGGGTGGCTGCCCTGATGAAAACTAAAATAAATAAAGTTGAAATCAGCTTAATGAATTTGAAATCAAACAAAAATGCCACGTTTGTTTCAAGACTTGGCAGAAAAGCAAAATCATCTGAAAAATTAAGCATCGCTTGAACGTTTTTGCCTTGCCAAGCTAGTTTCGCACAACTTTTGAGAACTAACACACACACAAAGATGACAAGTTGCCCCTATTTATGAAGCATCTCAGCATTAGCGAAGTACTGACCACTTCCCCGTCCACACTAGCGTGTGTGTAAGGATTCTGGGGGCTGATAGGTCTGAACTTACCTAATCAAAGCACAATAGACAGTTTGAACAGCTTAGACACTATTTGGCACTTAAATACAGAAAATGTGTTCATAAAGCTGAAATGTACCCAGTAAATATTGTGTATATATTGTGTTCTTCTGGCTATGTTAACTTATGATCCACTCACGTTTAATTTGCAACAATGAGGACTAATATATCTTCATAAACACATACAGAAATCCCTTTGATTACATTAGGGCTGCGTTCATGGAAATAAATAGGAGTGAAATTTTATCTCTGATTCCTTTGCAGCCAAGCTGTTGGCTGATTTTTATTAGCTATTAGCTTTTTTTTAAAAAAAAGAAAACATCAAGCTACAAAGACAACGTGATTGCACGTGTCATAAAACTGCTAGACAAAACAAAAACAGATTTATTTTTTCTAAATTGCCAACTAGGAGTGGGTTTGATCGTCCCTCTAGAAATAAAGGATGTTGCTAAGATGGAGGTGATTTCTTGGATGTCGCTGGTCTGGATTTAGGAGCTGCTTGGAATTAGTGGTTAAAAGAAAAACCTTCAAGGACCAGCTACATTCTGCCACCAGAAAGAAGGTGAAAATCCAGTATGTTTTGGTGAAATGAGGTGTCAGCGTGATGAATAAAATGCCAAAGAGGTGCGGAGCTGCACGCGGAGCGCTTCAGTGACCGACGAAATCAAACACAGATGCACAAAACACACTTGTGCTTTCTTCCAAGAGCGATACAATCAACGATTAACTTCAATAAAATCCTTCACTGAATTATTTTACACACACAGATGCAGCAGAAACTTCCTGTGTGAGCGTAAGGACAGTTTGCTACAAGGATGGGCAACACAACGTCCCTGTGTCCAGCAGTTATCTGGAGAAGGTGCAACGTCATATACGAAAGTCCAGGAGTGCTGAGGTGACCGACTGAGTCCACTTCATTTCCTCCATTTTTCAATTTAATTTCACTTCCACACTCGTTTTGTGCCCCGTTCGCTTGCTGGTCTTTGGATTCTCATTCAGCAGTGAATTTTTCTTCTAAAATGTTTTTTTCTTTCTCTTCACCATTTACTTCCATTTAACAGTGAGAGTCGTTGGCATTAGTAATTAAAACGGGACCATCGTAAAATAAAAAAGTCTTTTCCTTAAAATTCTTTCCTTCAGAGAAATAAAGGTAGCAGTGCTCTTGTGCCTTCAGTTGCAAACCTCCTCACACGTTCTCTCCAGGCAGCGTTCTTCCAGCATGCACCGCGGCGCTCAGAAGAATATGACGTCCTCCTTGGCGGTCTCATCGGGGACGGCGTATGGAGGGGTCAGATTCTGGCTCTGAGGCCGCAGCAGACTGACTGTTTGGCTGGGCGGTGGCTCAGTGGGGCAGTTGTCTGCCAGGCCAGGGGGATCTGAGGGGAATGACAACAAAGACACAGATAGGGTCAATAAGCCAGGTTAAGATTATGGCCTGAATACTGATAAGAGGCTTAAATTTCTGATGTGATAATATTGAACAAATTAATTTTACATTTAAATCATATATTTTAAATTTATACTCTAATCTTATTTGTTTGAGATGATTGTTGGTTCTCAGTAATCACACTTTGATCACATATACATACATACATACACACACACACACAAATATATACATATATATATATACACACACACACACACACACACACACACACACACACACACACACACACACACACACACACACACACACATATATATATATATATATATATATATATATATATATATATATATATATATATATATGTGTGTGTGTTGCGCTGGTCTGAGTGGATCAGACACAGCAGTGCTGCTGGAGGTTTTATACACCTCAGTGTCACTGCTGGACTGAGAATAGTCCACCAACCAAAAATATCCAGCCAACAGCGTCCTGTGGGCAGCGTCCTGTGACCACTGATGAAGGACTAGAGGATGACTGACTTATACTGTACAGCAAGAGATGAGCTATCGTCTCTGACTTTACATCTACAGGGTGGACCAACAACACAGGTGCATCTAATAGAGTGGACAGTGAGTGGACACAGTGTATAAAAACTCCAGCAGCACTCCAGCAGTGTGTATATATGTGTGTACTATATATATACACACACACACACACACACACACACACATCATCATGTGCTCTTTTTTGCCTTATTGTCTAGTCTAGTGTTCTCACCCTCATGTCAAAAAGACAAGAAATTCAGTAAAAGGATTTTAAAAGTTGTGTAGCATATGCTCAGCTTTACCTGTGAGCAGAGTCTGCGGAGGCTGAGGCTGCTGGTGGGGGCTGACGGAGCGACGGACCTTCAGTGAGCCCTCGCTGGCTGAGAGCTTCAGAGGAAGCATCTGCTTAATATCTACTGAAGCTGCCCAAACAAATTCAGTTCAGTTCAGTCAATATCACACATATTCATGTTCCTGGTAATAATAAGCACAATTCATCAGATATTATATCTTTTAAAAGACCAGAATCTTGATTTCCTCTAATCTTTTAAACACATTTGTCTTTAAATGAGTAATGAGTAAAACTTACTCTAACTTGCTCTATTTATTTATATAAAGAATAACTGTATATACACACACACACACACACACACACACACACACACACACACACACACACACACACACACACTCTCCAAGCAGGACGTGGAACTCTCAGTCTGGTAAAGAATGCTGGGGAATATGCAAATGACATAAAAACTCCGGTACTCTATGTATTTGACGTGAATTGAGTTATGACTCTAACCTGAGCTGTCCGTGCGGTGCGAGCTTTTGCCCTTGCTGCTCTTGTCCTTGCACTTCATGGTGGCGAGTTTGGTGGGGATTTGCTGCTGAACGACTCCCTGTTTGTGGTGCTGGTTGGTGGTGCTGATGAGGTGGATGGGCACCTCGGTCTTCATGGGCAGGGGTGTGCTGCTCTCTCTGCGGGGATGAACCTCCGGCCTCTCCAGGTAATCGGCGGGGGCCAACGACAGGCTGGAGCGGACCGGCTGCCGAGACTGAACACTCGAGTCTCCGCCGGCGTTGCCCAGCAGGAGCTCGCCGTTAAAACTGGAGGAGCCTGGGAGCTGGAAATAAAGAAAGATTTGTCATTTTAGGGTTCAAAAACAACTGAGAGCATAAGATTAACAAATAAAACATGACTGTATTAAAAATGTCATGAAAAGCTAAACGTCAGCAAGATTTTGCTGCATGTATGGAAAAGAGAGCAACGTAAGCGAGTTACTACGATGTAGTCCTTCACTGAAATCCTTGTGGAAACTGTGCAGGTCCAGCTGAGACAACATTAAGGCAGCTGTTATATAACTGTGCATCTATTAGGGCTGAACAGTACAGTCAGAATACCAGCACTGCAGTTATGTTGCTACACACTGCAACTGATGCACTTTACAATATATTATAAACATTAGACAATCAGTATTGTTAAAGATTAGCCTGTATTACTTTGATCAAATTATTTTTTTGTTGGATTACAAGGAAACATTGATAAAACACCCAAGGAAATTCATCTGGAGCGGTGATCACAGTGCACAGTAAAAACAGAACAACACACAAACAAATGCAAACAAACAAAAATACACTGTGACTGATTAGAGGCTCATTTACATACTGCTGGCTTCTGCAATATCAGTATTGCAAAGGCCAATGCTGTGATAATGGCTAACAAACAATTTAATCACGTTTTCTATTTACTTTGTGTTTATTTTTCTTATTCTCCCTTCTTTTTGTCATTTAAGCACTATTTTAATACTATACTATTATACTAGACTTTCCCTTTTACTATCTACATTTGTTTTCTTTTATGTCATTTTTCCTGTTGAACTACAGTGAAGCACTTTAGGCTTCATTTTATGTAAAAAAAATGCAACATAAATGAAGGTAATAATAAAAATAATAATAATAATAATAATAATAATAATAATAACTAGAAAAGTGCATTTCATGAAGGAAAAGCAAGTTGTGCAGCAATTATTAATGTCCCAGGTGACCCAAAGTGTTGCTAAGCAGTTGCTATGGTATCCCGTTCTGTTGCTAAATTACTGCTAGGCAATTGCCATGGTGTATGAGGTGTGTTTTTAGTTTTTCGTAGGAAGTTACCAAGTGGTAGCTTAGTGTTGTTTCAAATTAATGGGAGTCTATGGGATGAACGAGGGATGAAAAAACGACAAATAGAGGAGTGCAGGTCAGTATGGCTGTGGATTAGAGCTTGGGGACCTGCCCTGAGTGAATACATGTACTTTGGTGTCTGTTGGGCAAAGAAAATGATAGGGCTTGGATGTTGGGGAAAATAAATGGGACTCTATGAGAGAACGAGGGATGAGAAAACGATGCATAGAGGAGTGTGGGTCAGTGTGGCTGTGGATTAGAGCTTATGGATCTGCCTTGAGTGAGTACATGCATTTTGGTGGCTGATGGTCAAAGTAAATAATGGGGCTTGGGTTTGGGCGAAAATGAATGGGACTCTATGGGAGGAACGAGGGATGAAAAAACGACACGGAGAGGAGTGTGGGTCAGCATGGCTGTGGATTAGAGCTTGAGGACCTGCCGTGAATGAGTACATGTAGTTTGGTGTCTGTTGGGCAAAGGAAATAATAGAGTGGTGGCGAAAATGAATGGGAGTCTATGGGACAAACGAGGGATGGAAAAAAAAACGACAAACTGTATTTCTGTACAAAGGCATAAAAGAGAGGCGTGGCCTGCTCAGACTCAGCTGAGCTGCTGGAAAAGAAACGTCACTGAGGAGGCTAAAACAGAAGCATGTGTGCTGGAATGATGAAAGGGGTTTCCGCGGCTGGCTGTGTTTAAAAGACTTTGATTCCTCTTTGAGCGCGGATCCTCAGAGCGGCCGGCGTGTTTGAACACAGCAGGGAGGAAATGTGGAGTGTGTGCTGTTACAGAAAAAACACAGGGGTCTTTACCAGATCAACTCCGATTAAAAACACATGCCCTGCTTTCTGCCACGTGGAGCGCACTGGAATACAGACGCACTCAGCCCTGATCAGACGACATCAGAGTCAACCAGAACGTATCGAAACAGCTTAAACACTAAACTCATTTACTCAGAGGTGAGAGGAAGAGCTGCTCTGATATTACAATTAACTGTTGCGCTGATTTGTTTTTCATGATTTTGCAATATTTTAAATTGTTACTGTTTATATGAGTCATCAAACATGCAAATAATCTGATTAACTGTGAAATCAGAGTTCTTTTTATTTTTAAAGGCCATACAATAAAAATGGACTTAACAATATTGGATCATTAGAATTAGAATTCAGAAACTCAGCCAACTGTGTTTTTATTAGACCTCCACATTTAACCCATCTGTGCAGAGAAACACCCACATACAGGAGGACTGACAAGATAGGAGTGTCTAATAGAGTGAGGACAGTGTTTAAAAACTCCAGCAGCACTGCTGTGTCTGATCCACTCAGACCAGCACAACACACACTAACACACCACCACCATGTCAGTGTTACTGCAGTGCTGAGAATGATCCACCACCCAAACAGTACCTGCTCTGTGAGGGTCCATGGGGGTCCTGACCACTGAAGAACAGGGTAAAAGGGGGCTAACAAAGTATCAGAGAAACAGATGGACTACAGTCTGTAACTGTAGAACTACAAAGTGCACCTATATAGTAAGTGGAGCTGATAAAATGGACAATGAGCGTAGAAACGAGGAGGTGGTCATGATGTTATCCCTGATCGGTGTAGTCAGTCCTTCATTTAATTAGATCAGATGCTGAACAAATCCATGTGATGGCTGGAGAGCAGCGAGACGTCAGGAACCAAGCCTGCGTTCTAACCGCGCTCCTCTAACCTACGTATTCATGACGTCACTGAAAACAACACATTCTGACTAAGTTTTACTGTAGTTAAGTTTATTTGTATTTATTTTATTGTTATATTGTGTTTTAATCGGCAAAACCACTCGTACTGTCCAGAAAACAGTTTTAAACATCGAGCACGACTTTAGTCCAGGACTGTATGTGTTTCCTCTGCCCTCTCAAAGCTACACTGTCCAGCCACCTGTAACGGAAACATGACTCGTTCTTCTCTGCATGAAGATGAGAGCCATGTGTTAGAACATCTCTCAGCAGAAGCAGATGTTGCCAGCTGTGGAGGTTCTACTGGATGCGTCAGCGGGGCCCACAGGGGCCGCTAGTCCTGACTGCTCCAGAAAAAAAACTTCAAAGCAGGGCCATCCTCTGCTCAGCCTCGGGGCAGAACTGCCTTCACAGAGCTCAGCAGCTTCCACACAGACGCTGTATTGTTCCTCTCTCTGAACTGCGCTGTGATAAAGAGTATGTGGTTTCCAGAAGATAAAAAAAGGGGAGGGGGGTGGGGGGTGGGGGGAGGAGAGAGAGAGAGAGAGAGAGAGAGAGAGAGAGAGAGAGAGAGAGAGAGAGAGAGAGAGGGAGTGCAAGTTAGGAAGACGGAGAGAACGAGAGCAAGAAAGAGAATGAGACAAGTTTCAAGAGTGTATAAGTGAAAAAAGAGAATTGAAAAAGGGAGAAAGGGGAGAGAGAGAAGGAGAGAGAGGGGGAGGGGGAGAAGGAGAGAGAGAGAGAGAGAGAGAGAAAAAAAAAAATCAAGAGAGTGTATTAGTAGGCTGATTCAGAACAGAGAGAGAAAAAAAGAAAAGGAGGAGAGAGAGAATAAGAGAAGAGAAAGAACAGACAGAAAATAAGTGGAGAGAGAGAATCAGAAGAGAAAGAGAAGAAAGAGAAAAAAAGAAGGGGAAAGCAAATAAGAGAAAAGAGAGAAAGTAGAAAGAGAAGGTGAGAAAGACACAAAAGAAAAGCAAGGGGAGAGAGAATAAGAGAAGAGAAAGAAAGAAGGGAAGAAAGAGAATAAGAGAAAAGGTGAAAGAAAAGATAGGAAGGAGAAGAGAGAGAGAGAGAGAGAGAGAGAGAGAGAGAGAGAGAGAGAGAGAGAGAGAGAAGGGTGACAGAGAGAGCTATATGGGGGGGGGAGCGAGAGAGAGAGAGAGAGACATCAAAGAAAGAAATAAAGAGAATGAGCAGGTTCCTGAGGAGGGATATGAAGGAGGAACAGAGTCCCCTCAAGTGACAAGTCTTACTGTCATTTAGAGAGAGAGAGAGAGAGAGTAAGAGAAAATAAAGATCGAAAGAGAATGCGGAAAAAAGAGGAGAAGGTAAAGAAAGAAAGAGGCAAACATTTGACTAACATCATGTAAGTGATGTGGCGCGGTGCAGTGTGAGTGCAGTGCCGGTGCAGTGAGGAGTGTGTGGAAGGTAAATCACGCAGTGCAGACGTTCGGTTCTGCCCTAAATTCTCTACAAACATTTATTTCAGCCCTTCGGCCACAAACGCAGGCTGAGTTCCCTCAGAATACCTGCCTCTTAAATCACTCTGAAACACCTGTTCAGGGGTTTTTCCATCCTGCACAAACAAGAGCAGCAGAACACAAACCCAGCTCAGCACACTCATCACCACATTCCTCAGAAAGCAAATCAGTCAGTGTTAGGAGAGCGCGAGGAGAGGACGAGTGTAATCACACAGCTCAGAAAAATGAACCCAGCAAAAGCAAAAATACCGAAGGTACTCTAATAATATATAATCATGACAGAGAGAGGGAGAGACAGAAAGAAAGACAGAATGGAGGAGACCTCATGTTTTGGGTGTATGAGGAGTCGGGATGTGGCTGTTCTGAGAGAGGAAGTGAGTAAGCGGCTGAGTGAGCGCATGTTACAAACACTTCCACACCCTGAAGGCTCATTTATTCTCCCTTTGTGTCCGAAAATAAACACGTCCGTTTCAAACATCGTAACAGTCAATGCCCACACACTTCCATATGTCCTTTACACTGGACACCACGGTACGGCACTGACCCAGACTGTCCCACAGTCTTCTACACTGTACTGCACTGACCCAGACTGTACCAGTCTTCTACACTGTACTGCACTGCACTGACCCAGCCTGCACCAAAGTCTTCTGCACTGCACTGACCCAGACTGTACCAGTCTTCTACACTGTACTGCGCCAACCTAGACTGTACCACAGTCTACTGCACTGTACTGCACAGCACTGACCCAGACTGTACC